GTGCGATCAGCTCCATGCAGTTCATAAAGCACTGAGCAACAATTGGCCTTTTCGGTGTGAACTCAGTAGCACATCGTGTCCTAGGTGCTTCGAATGGCAATGTCTCAGATACAAGCGTTGCAAGTCAGAAAAAAGATGTCCTGGAATTCTGTACACCATGGAGAGGGGTGGCCGTGAGAATTCCCCGAGGCCTGAGACAATCTTGCTCCAAGCCATCCAAGCAGGCGACACGCGACAGCAGAGCCAGGTTGGGTTTGCCATCGCACCATGTCTTCGTTGTGTAGAGGCAGTGGTGTGCACGAGTGAGGTCTGTTGTTCGATGGTGTGATGTGCAGGACAAGGACGTGCACAGTCACTTCCGCTTCCTCTGGGACACCTACAGAGCCCTGCGCTTGGCAAAGCATGCTTGCTATGCAAAGTTGCGTGTGATTTCTTGCTGTACGGACAGCAGGATTTGGAGCAAGACAATTTCGGTGACTGTAGGTACAAGCGACCAGAAATGTGGTTGACTCTGCCGCCATGAGCAGAGCAATTTGGACCTTTAACGGATCAAGTTGACTTGTCAGGTGTCACGTCAAGAAGCTCAAAATCCCAATGTACGAATATGGGGGCCGTCTTCCGGCAATTACAAAAACAAACAAACTCGAACGCCTATTTCAATCACTGTGAACCCAATGCAGAGTCTTTGAACTCTTTGATACAGCAAATCCTGGGCAAGAAGCTAGCATCACCAACTTCACCCACCGTTTCAGTCATCATCTTTTCTCGGCAAAGAAAGTGCCTGTCAATGTCGCACCGTGTCGCATGCATGCAAGTCTACATCCTGGAAAGCGGCTGCAGGGACCATTGCTTCTAGCATGTCCTGCTTGCATGGCCATCTTCAGAGAAATTGCAATGGAAAATCTACATCTTTTGGCTTGGAGATGAAGTTGAAGAAGCTCTCCACAAGCGACAGGTAATCAAACCTACTACAGACGCCCTTGCCCAATCCGGCACAGATGGCTTGCAGAATCGCAAGTCAATCCATTGCTGTTTTGTCCGTGCCACGTCTGTGGCCCTGTGGCATTCCTGCATGATTTTTTGATCTGCTTGCAACATTCGCAACATCACGAGGCAAATGTGCATTCAAGAGCGAAGCGAAGCTTGCAAAGACAGGCCCCTTGATCCACAGTCCACAGGTCATTCTGGATGTGCTGAAGTCCAACAGCCGCCTGGAGGAGGCAGGCACCATGCGGCCTTTCAATCGTGAGTCAACTTTGCTGCACTCTGCCTGTCTGCAAATTGCAAGCATACGAATTGCTGCTTGGCTTTGAGCCGAAAACAAGCGATCGTGAGGGGTTTCTTTCCTGAACATGGCAGGTTTATCATGAGACTTCACGGCAAGCTTTCGAGTTCTGCCGCGCAAACACCCGTCCAGGAGAGTTCGCAACCAAGATTGGGTTGTCAGCACAGCAGAGACTTCGAGATTCGCCAAAGCCAGCCACTCCAGCCCAGGTTCAAGAAGCTTTGCGACAGTCTCAGAAAGAACTTCCAGGTGCTTGCAGCTCTTTAGATGGGCATTTATCGGATAGGAAATGTCATGATGCAGTTTCTTACTCTCTTCACTTTCTACAAATCTCTGGTTTCAGCCAGTCGACCTGCTTTGCCATTCTGGTCTGCAGATGCCACCAATTTACAGGGTCTCTGATCGCCTGTGCTTTGCTTGGGTTGCTTGTGCCCTTTGCATGGCTCCCTCGCTTGCGTCTTTTGTCTCGCGTGCGCGTTCTTCCCTCTTCCTGTCCCCCTGGACAAGGTTGTTCGTGTCTCGCTTGTTTGATTTGCAGTTTGCCAGGAAGCATTCCTTTGGAGGGATTGGTCTGTGTCCTGTGTCAGCTTGCCTTTCTGGCTTTCACGCCTCTCGGCTCACCCTCCAACCCTAAACCCTGTCAGCTCAAAGTAAACCGCCAGCCTTGCGCTGCCTTGTGCCAGGCAAGTGGCAATCAACCGTAGCCCCAGACCACTAAACAATGAATTCCGCTGCCTTGTGCCATGCAAGTGGCGGAAAGAGAAATTCCTAGAACAAATCTAGGCCTTGCAACATTGGTACATCCCTATGGAAAAGTAGCGTTTTCCCCAGCTCATACCTATGGAAAAGTAGCGTTTTCCCCGGGTCATCCCTGTGGAAAAGTAGCGTTTTCCCCGAGTCGTCTCTACGGAAAAGTAGGTTTTCCCCGAGTCAGCAGCATCCCATAGCGAAATCAGAATTTCGCTCCTGTTGTAAAGTCCCCGACTACAGACGGGAGTTCCCTCGGGCTCCTGATGCAAATCCACTAGTGGGCGACATGTTTGCGCACTCTTTCCAGCTCTTCAAAACACAGCGCTGTTCCTTGGGGGAGTTGTTGATGTACGGTGGCCGAAAGTTATACAAAACATACTGCCAACGTTGTTGTCTGCCACATGAGCGGCATTCTTACACCTTATGTCCGGCTCTTCAAAACACAGCGTCTCGTTGGGGACTTGCATCCGGTGATGCGTAATTTCCCCAAAACAATCCTTATCAACTTACCCTGACGCCAGCGGTTCACTGGGGAAGAAGGCAATTGTTATGACTTCCTGCTGCTGCATTTCCCAGCAAACAGGACTTTCCGCATCGTTGCTCTACATGCCTGAACCCAAGCGGTTAACTGCGGAAACACGAAAATGTTATGACTTCCCCGGAAGGAGTCGTAACGCGCGGTTCAATGGGGAACCGGTTCCCCCACTGCAATTGTTATGACTTCAGGGTCTGACTGTACTGTCTGTAACAACCTAGACCTAGACCCGAAGGTGGTAACAAGCAAGGGGTCAAGGAAGTGAAGAACCCTGCCAGTACGTTGCGAAGGGGCTAGGTAAGGAAAAATACACCAAATTCCAGGGAGGTGCCTCAATGACTGAACCCAAACAACCTCGCGAGAAAGGCACTAAACCCCAAGCACCAGAGACCCAGGGAACTGAGTGGTCAGGTGGAGCGGGGATGGTGCGTCATGCGTCCTGTATGATGTGCAGAGCATGCAAGACAAGACCTGCAACTCAGCCCTGCGGGCTTCACATCTTGCAGAAGCAAACGTAATCCGACCGCTCTTACCGGTGCACGGTGACGAGAGTTTTTTTTTGTATCAATTTTCCGTTTCTTGTTTTTTTTGCTAGGGCAGAGCTGGAAAGCAAGCAAGCAAGCAAACAAGGCAGCCAGAAGCAAGCAAGCAAGCAAGCAAGCGCTCACGCACGCAAGCAAGCGAGCAAGCAAGCAAGAAAAACTGTCATTGTCATAATGTTTTCTCATTCTCAGTGGCTTTTCATCGCTGTCACCACAGGTCATCAAATTTGATCAAATTCTTTGAGACTGCCATCGTAATTTTGTCATGTTTCATCATATTTCATCATAATACATTATATCTCATCACCTTCAACATGTTCATCATTTTCTTCATATCTTGTGAATGACAGTCCTCGGAGTTTCATCGTATTCTATCCTCGCTTGTCCTTCTTTTGTTTGTGCTTCCTCATGTTTCAGAATGGGGAATCATGTTTCAGCATGGTTCACAATGTTTCTTTGTTTCTCGGCAATTTGCAGCATTTTCATCAGCTTTCTCATCTTACATGTTGCATTTCATTTTCACTGTTTTTTTTGTCGCTTTGAGCATATGTCATGATTTCATCATTGCAAAAAAATTGCTCACTTTGCCTCACCTCATTTTTGATTACTCTACATACATATTTATTTCACAGCATGTGCCATGATTTTTGATACTTTTCATCAATCTTAATCTTGTTTTTAGTATGTCGTTTCATGATTTTCCTCATGTTTAGCATGTTCATCCGTTTGCATTCTTTTTCCGAAGCTACAAGGGCAGCCTGTGTTGTTCGTTCCGGTCCCGCTCTTATTAGTATTGACTCTTGCCACTGTAAGATCAAAAACTTCGGAAGAGAGCACACGCTAAAGTCTTCATCCAGGTTTTGCAAAGAAAGGCTCCTCGCCACCCCCGCCCCCACCCCACCGCCCAACCCATCCCCCCCCCCCTGTATTGCGATAGAGAAGGCGTGCGCGCCAGCAGTTTTCATCGTACTTCATCGTTTGTTTCACCATGTGTCCTCCTTATGGATCGCTGGTCAACATGTGTCATCATGTTTCATCACATTGCTCATTATGTCACGACATTTGATCGTCTTTCATCATGCGCGGCGCTTTCCACAAACTTCGTTCATCACATTGTCATCATGTTTCCATCGCAGTTCATCACATTTCGTCAACTTCATATTTTGTTAGCTTTGATCATATTTCACACTTTTTCATCATTCGTTTTGCATCATAGTTCAATTTCCATCATTTCCCATAATTCGTCATCCTATTTTCGAGAATTTCTAACCTTTCCAGTTTCCTTGCCGTCTATGGATGTTCATCATTTTCATCGGTTGCATCATTTCAATGGGTTTCATATTTTTAGGCGTCCTTCATTTTCATGTTTCTTCCCATCATTTTTTATGTTTCATGATGTTCTAATAACTGATACTTTCATGGATTTCTATCATGTTGCATGACGTTTCATCATTTCATGTTTCCTGTGTTGCCATGATTTTAGCACATATTCATAATTTCCGGTCATGTTCATCATGTCCTGGTTTTGCATGTTCCCAATTTTCTCACAGATAGAATTCCTTCAACTGTTCATCACTTGTCGTCAGTTTTCGTCGTCTTCCATGACTTTGCATTGTGTTCATCCTCTGCTTAATCATGACAATAATCTTTGGCACCTTGTGACAAGTTCATCATTTTCACCACCTTGGAAAAATCCGGCACTTTCATCAATTTCCACTGTTGTTCATCATTCCATTTTTCGTGTTTTTAAATCATTTTCAACATGTCTCATGAGTTTTCATTGTTGTTAATATTTTGCAAGAACAATCATGATTTCATCATTTTTATCAGTTTGCATTGTCTTCCAGCAGTTTCCATACTTTTTACAAGGTTTCTCATCAATTTTCATGATTCTTCTCCACTGACCCACTACTATAACTACTATAAGCAATAGGAAAAGAAAAAAACAGTACAAAAACACATGGAAGAAAGTACGGAAAAAAACTTTGCGACCCCGGGCTATACGCCAGGTGCCAGGCAGATGCTATCCTGTACTCGCGACATGAGGCATCGCATTGGACAAGTCCACAAGTGATGCATGGAAGCCTTGGGGCCTCGTAATGAGGACATGAGGCGTCGCGAACGCGACGGGTAGGAGTCATGATTGCCCAGATCGGAAAATCCCGAGGAGTAGCTTGTCAAAGTCGTTGAGACTGGCACACCAGCGAAAAACACAGGGTGGGATGAAGCGTGAACATCAGTTTCCAGAATGCCTTCAACATCGCTGCGGGTGGTGGCAGCCGTACGGAGGCGCTGAGGGCGAGCAGCCGCACGGCGGCCATGCTGACCCTTGGCAGAGGTCTGGTTGATGGACCGGCGGCCACGTACATGTTCACAGCAAGGCTGCAACTGGCGATGCTCTAGAGTGTCTTCAAAAGGATCCAAAACAGGGACAGGGCTGTTCCAGGAAATGACCCTGAGGATCCCTGAGTCAAAGGTGGTAATGGCAGACGCAGGAGCAGAAGCCGCAGCAGAGCGAATAGATGGGGCCAGTGAGGCCGGAACAAGCGGGACAAGTGGCAGCAAGGGCAGTCCCAAATTTCAGAGTGTAAGTGCAAACGGTCTGCAAAGAAGCAACCCTGGCACCACCAAGTGCATGTGGTGCAAGGGAGAGCCTGTGTGGCATTATTGGTAAGCTCCGGAGGCGGCGTTTCAAGGTGCGGCAGACACTAGGTGACAACAAGTCCGCGCATTTGGCAGCAGCCTCGCAATTGGCCACCAGGAAGGGGAGGCAGGAGAGCAAAGAGGTCGAAAATGTGCTGCCGACCGCCTCACAACGCAACCAGCTAATGCTCATCCCCTAAGACCAAATCTGACGTTTACCGAGGTCTTTCTTAAGGCCTACGGCGGTGTCAAACTGACTAGTATAGGCAAGGGCACGCTGCAAACTGGGATGGCCATCAGCGCGGAGCGATTGGTCATCAATGAACGCCCGACGCATAGCGCCTGGGCATTGGCGTTTAAGGAGAGCATGCCAAGGACGCAAGATCTCCGCCAGGATGCCCTGAAACAGCCTGAGTTTGTTTGCTCTAGCGTCCTTCGTGCCGTGCATGCATATTTACATACTTCTACAGCTTTTGGCTCCCAAGGGTGCCCATCAAGTTTGCATTTTTTTCTAAGATGACAGCGGCGTGCCAGACTTTTCAGGATGCTTAATTACATCATGCTGGAAGTTCCTGAGCTTCCACAGATTTATGATAGGTGTGAGTCAAGGCCTTGAACATTTGTGTAGCAGCAGCTTACGCTTGCCTTTTTGGTCTGTGTGTGTTTTAATTCCGATGTGGATGGCGCAAGTGAAAAGTTAGCTCTGCTAAGGTGTGCGCAGACTCCTAGTATGTATGAAGCAGTTGGTGGGGGCCCTAACAGAATCCAGATGATCCTAT